TCCTGAATTTTGTTTCAGAATCTGAGACAAAGTTACCGGATCCCTTTAAACCACTCGAAAATATCGTAATGTTGCGCTTCCCAATGTGGGATAATAATATCTATTGTCTATACTTTAATAGATACAATCTCTTCAAAATGGATAGTTGAGTTCTTGTTGCAGACCGCAAATGCCTTCAAAGTGTATGGATATTGCTCTTTTTCTTATTTATGACATTTCCAGTGCCCTTTTAGAACCTAAATTTGATATGAAGGTAATTTTAGACCAAAAGATGTGTGAAATTTAGCCAATACGATTACACAAATTCAGCTCCACTTGCAAAAAATACGGTGACCATTAATGAATTAAATTTATAATAATATACTGGCCGGCTGGTTGTGCGTATTTATAACAAACACGAAAAGCCAGTAAAAGCCACATCGGTATTGGCTGGAATAAAACGTTTAAGGCGCTATCTCGTTTTTAAACGGCTGGTTCAAATTATCGAATATGGATGGGGTACCACAAATATTAGAAATCGTTATATTAATGGAAATTTCAGCCGTCTTTGAACCGATTTTGATCAAACTGAAAGATGATTTTGTCATTTTAATCGTTTTCATTATCTCACAATTAATTATTTTGTGTAGCGCCCTGTAACAAAACTAACTATCTCTTTCAATTTGAAAGACAAAAAATCTATCGCTCGTCCCTTTGCACCCAACCATATCATTTTCATAAGGATCTTGTAAAAAAAAAAGCACCTCAATATGAGTTATTTAAAGTGCATTAGCATACACACAATCATAGCTAATTTCGTTTGTAAAGAGGTAACTCGGGTCTTTCCAGATACCACCGCGATGCGATGAGTTATTGTTGTTGTTTTTTTTTCGACGAACCGATGATAAAAGAGTCAGAAATATATTGCTTTTGTGATGAAGGAGAAAATACAATCCATGTTTATATAAAAGATGATTTCACATCTTAAAATATATCCTTGGGTTTCTACCTACTGATGGTTGAAGCAGAAGCAGAGTTTCATCCCTTGGTGTTAACCTCACGTTGCATACTTTATTTTTATGGACCATAATTACTATCGCATGAACAATGTGCCTGGCATGCATCTGTGTTATCATTTTTACGCGTCTGAATCATAATTGCAGCAGGCAGAGTCGAATACACACACTACACGCGTGCAACGTTATATGAATGTGATCGTGTGCGTCCTCTAAGAGATTCATTTCGCTAATGCAACCTGCTCGCTCGCTCGATCACTGTGTTATGCCGCCGCTCTTCAATAACACATCGCTTCTCTGGTAGCGGTCGATGTTAGATCGTTCGGTGCCTGTACAGTGGTGTCGCTCACTGGAAACGAGTCAACCATTCGACAGACATTTTGATGCTAGACACCTGCCACTTACGTTGTGTGTTGCAGTTTTCTCTCTCTAAATCAAACTGCTACCTTAATTTATGCTGCAGTCGACAAACCGACGCTTTTTCGTTTCTTTTTTCGCATTAGGATTGCTCAAACGTGCGTCAAAAGGGTTTGGATTGTAGCGCACCGCTACGTGGGTAGACAGCTGGTATCAGGAGTAGGATAGTAACCTCTCTTCAGTGCTGATGTGAAACGCGATCTCAATGCTTACCGTTTCACGATTTTCGCTAGTATTGTGCATTCATCCTTAGTTATATTCTTTCTCAAGC